AATGATTTAATGAAAAATAATAATAATAATAATAGCAATAAGGAAAAATAATTTTTCTTATAACATTCACGAGTGGCATTAAATGAAATAAAATTAAAAAAAAAAATTTTTTTTTGTTTGTTTGTAACAAAAAGTGAAAATTATATACGATTTTAGAAAATTTTCTAACAATCAAACAAACGAACAAACAAACAAAAAGTTTAAAGTGAAAAGTATAAAATTAAAGAAGTTAAAATTTCGATGGCTGATGGATAAAATAATAACTTTTCCGTAAGGATATGATTTCAAAAAAAGAAAATTATTATTATTTATTATTATAAATTGAGAGAGAAAGACGAACTAAAAATCTGATTTCCGGTTTATTTTCCACTTCCTTTTCCGATAATTTAAAAGATAAAAAGGTAAATATCAAAGGAAAAAAAATTTTGGTAACGAAAATCCAAGAAGAAGAAGATGAAGAGAAAAAAGAGGAAAAAATGAATAAAAAAAAATTTTTTTTATTTTATGACCTCTGACCCGTACACGTCACAAATTTTCTAATGCCAATAAATAATTATTATTATTATTATCGTTTTCGAAAGAAAAAAAAATGTGACGTCACTAAATGTCACGTTTTTTTTTTTTTTATTTATCCGGAAAATCTCGAAGAAATTTTTTTTTTTTTCCACAACCGTGAGAAAATTAAGAGAACAAATTTATTTTAATCTTATTATCGATCGATCGATCGATCGATCGATCCATCGATTCATCGATCGATGTTTTTAATTTTCGTTTAATTTGACAGGAAATAGGAAAAGAAAAAAATTTATACAAAATGAATCCGATAAAAAAAAAAAAAACTGGAGAAAGAAATTAACTGGAGTAAAAATAAAAAAAAATTGAAAATTGAAAATACGAATGAAAAAATTACGTGGAATCAGACGACATTGTTTTTTAATAATAATAATAATAAGAAAGAAAAAATTAGTTAAAGACGTCCAGACATCACGAATTCTGGATTAAAAAACAAACAAACCAACAAACAAACAAATAAATTTTTTTTTAAATAGAAATTTCTAGAAAAAACAAAAAAAAATTTCACCCTGAAATTCGAACAATTATTATTATTATTATTATTATTATTTACCCTCATGCCCGCGTCAATAAAATTAAAAATTATGACCTTTCCTTACGAAAAATTTGATTGATTTTTTTTTTTTTTTAAACTTCCGGATATTTAAAATAACCTAATCCCACGTTTTTTTTTTTTAACTTTTTCACCTACCAGCATGAAAAAACATTAAAAAAAAAAAAAAAACAAACCACGTGCATTTTGAAACTTTTATTATTATTATTATTGACGCACGTTTATTTCGACTATTTCGACCTACCCAAAGGGCAAAAGTGAAAAAAAAAATTTCCTTAAGGTCACACAATATGCGTAATCCAATAAATGATAATAATAATAATAAAGAGGTAAAAGACCTAATTAAATAAAAACCGATGTTTGACGTCATAAACTCCAGAGACACGTCGTCGTTGTCGTCGTCCCCGGTTTCAATCATGTACGCGTTTATTATTATTACGAAACAGCCATTTTATTTTTTTTTTTTTTTACGATTTCGGGATGATGAACTTTCCAGAATTTTAAATAAATTTAAACTTGACCCGATTTTAATAAACATTACGTCATTTCCGATATTTAAAATGAAAATTTATCAAAAAAAAAAAAATTAACAAATGTACTTTCTCTCCCATTAAAAAATTTCAATTCACATTATTATCATCATCATTATTATTTTTTTGATGAAATTCAGAAACGCGACGTGTCACGAACCGAAGAAGAAAAAAAAATTCTATTTACACTTTAATTAATAATTCCCTTACATAAAAAAAAAAAAGAAAAAAACGTGTAAATATTTGTTTTTACATCGTTCGTCGCGTGACGATAAATTTATAATAATAATAATAATAATAATAATAATAATAATAATAATAATAATAATAAATTCGCGTGAATTTTATATTACGTCATCGAAACGTCATTTCCTGTTCTTTATTTTAATTAAAAAAAAAAAAAAATTTCGCGACGGAAATCGTAAAAAAAAATTAAATTTTTTTTAACGGATCGATAAATCGATAAATTAACGATGAGTAAAAAAAAAATTTGTAAATAAAAAATAAGGGAAGGATGGGGGAGGGGGAGGGGGAGGAGAAGATTGAGGAAAAGGGGGTGGGGATTATTTAAATTTTGGAATTATTCCAGTCGAGTGTCTGGAATATCTTTTCCAAAGTGGTTTTTAGCACACATTATTTAGCAATTTGGCCAAGAAATTTTCTTTTTTCTTCTTCTCCTCTCCTCTACGATAAATAAATTACTCGTGCCAATGATTATTGAACTTGGGATGTTTGTTACGATGCGTTAAAGTGCGTAAGTGCGCGCCACTCAAAAACGCACGTAAAAACGCCTTGAGTTAGTACAACCGAAAAAGAAGAGGAGGACAATGTTGTAACGACAATGAATGGAGTTGTCGACATTGAGATATCATCGGAAAATTATTTAAAATCGTCAATACGTTAACCGGTATGGAGAGTTGTTGTTATCACGGGTACTGATAAGGGTAAAACCTTATCATTCGTTATTTAACGTTTATCCTATTCGCATATCAATTTTTAAAAATGTACGGTTTACAAATAACGAATAAAAAAATTTTTTTTTTCATTTTTTTTTTCAAATTTTTTTCACACGCTGGAACGTCATCGAGAAATTGTAAGTAATAATCATTATTATTATTATTTCTAAACTAAAACCACGTCAAAAAAAAAAAAAAAATTTTTTTACTTAACTTAATGCAATGGAATGACGACCTTTGCGTTTTTTTTTCGAACACCTGAATATTTTTTTTTTATTATTCCTGGAAAAAAATAAAATAAAAATTTCATCATTTTCCAGTTTTTTCCTCTCCAGTTTTTCCTTTCCTGGAATGAAAAAAAAAAAAATTTAAATTATTATCGATTTTAGTTTTCTTAATAAAAAAAAAAAAAAAATTTTTTTTTTGATAAATTTTACCTATTTATAAATAAATAAAAAAAAATTATTAATGATTCTCCAAAACTAAACTGGAAATTTTTTTGGACAAAAAATGAATAATAACATTAAGTTTTCCTTTTAAATTTTTTTTTTTGGCGCCTTTTTTTTTTTTAAATAAAAAACAAAACCGTTCTACCATGTACTGTGTTTGTTTGTATGTAAATTTGGCATTATACCAACAAACAAACAAACACGGAGAAAGAGAGATATGGGAAAAATTATTATTATTATTATTATTATTATTATTATTATTTACAATCCGTTTCCAGTTTTGGGAAAATTCGTCGAATTAATTTTACCGATAATAATAATATTATTATTATTTTATAAACGCACGCGACGTTTAGTGACGCTTCGATGATTTCAAAAACTTAATCCCGTTTACGTATAAATATTTACATGGAAATTATTTGTTCTGGAACCTTCCACGACGACGACGACGACGACGAAGATGACGACAACGCTGGAAAAATTACAAAAATAATAATAATAATAATTTCCCTTTTAATTTCTTTCTTCCATTCTTTCCTTCTTTCCTTCTTTCTTTCTTTCATTCTTTCTTATTTCTTCATAAAAATTAATTATACAAAATAATAATAATAATAATAATAACTCGCGCGTTACAATGTAATAATTTAATTTATTATTATTATCATTATTATTATTATTATTATTCGGTAATAAAAAGTAATAAAATTAATTTTTTTTTTAGAGAGAAAGAGCGAATGAAAATATGAAAATAATTAAACTTACATAAGAAAATTTATTTATTTTTAAAAATAAATTATCATTTATTGATAAAAACTTACGTAGTAATAATAATAATAATAATTAAAAACCTTGAATTTTATCAGAATAAACAAAAGAAAATTTTAAAAAAATTTTGGCCTCTTTCGAAGAGAAAATCGGGTTTGAGCTAATCTATTTAGTCGAGTAAACTTTACTCCTATGATAAATTTACAAATGTGCGACAAAAATCTATTATTATTATTATTATAACTATTGAATTAGTTCTCCAGATAAAGCATAATCATTATTATTATTATCATTATTATTGTCTGAAACTTACGCGGATCGATAACGAAAATTCTTTTTAAAAAAAAATCGAATTGAGCGCAAAAAGTCAATTTTTTACTTGTTGTATCCTCTCGCGCGATAATAAAAACACACTGATAAGAAAGATAATAATAATAATAATAATGATGATGATAATGATAATAATGATTATTCGGAACAAATTATTAAGGTTAAAGAGGTATGTTTAATTCTGAAAAAAAAAAAAAAAAAACTTATTAAAAGTGGCAGATGTTCCTTGCGGTGTTCAGTTAAGACGTGAAAGTAGAATTATCGGCGGTAAAAATGCGGTTCCTGGAGAATTTCCATGGTTGGTTTCAATTAAAAGATTGGGGGGCCATTTCTGCGGCGGTACCATAATTAATAAACGTTGGATAATGACAGCTGGACATTGCATGTGTAGGTAAGTGAGAATGATTTCATCTCAGATTTTTTTTTTGTCAAAAACCCGATAATCGAATTATATTATTATTATCATCATAAAAATGTTTTTTTAAGCGGTTCTGGAAAATTATTGGAAAATAGAATACGCGTGACGATCGGAGAACACGATTTAAAAATTAAAAATTCTAAAGAAATCGATAAAAAAGTTATTAAAATACATTTTCATCCGAAATATCAATGTGGAAAATTTATTGACGATATTGCTCTCCTGGAATTAGAAAATGATATTTACTGGACAAAATCCATTGGACCTGCTTGCCTACCTAAAAATTACGATAATGATAACGATTTAACGAATCGTTCGGCGACATTAGCCGGTTGGGGATGGCTTAATGAAAAATATAGCGAAGGTATGAAATAAACAACTATCAAATGAATGATTATCATAATAACGATGACGTCATAAAAAAAAATGAACGTTTTTCAGGGAGGAGACCGGATATATTACAAAAAGTACAAGTAAACGTTTTTGATAACGATAAATGTCGGGATTGGTATTCATCCCAAGGGAAAAATGTTAAAATTTTAAATACTCAATTATGTGCCGGTCACGAATCTGGTGGGAAAGATGCTTGCTGGGTAAAAAAAAAACCGTTACTTTTTATTATTATTATTATTATCATTTTTCTTCGGACCCGTCGTATTTATTATTATTATTATTAATTTAGGCCGACAGCGGAGGACCGTTAATGATATCAGAATCTGACAACAGCGTGACCGTCGTTGGTGTCGTGTCGACTGGAATCGGATGCGGAAGACCAAAACTTCCAGGAATATACACGAGAATAACCGAATATATTCCTTGGATATTAAACGTCATCAACAATTAACACAAAAATTTAAAAAAAAAAACAAAATGGCTGTGAGACCTCCTCCCCTCCCCTCCCTTCCCGCGCCCTTTTATTATTATCATTATTAAAGACTGATTGACGACAAATTAATAATAATGATAATTTTTTATCGCGATGCGATCGTCGCGTAAATTTTTATTAATCGAACGCGCGCGAGAGAGAGAGAAAGAACACGCGCATTTACGCACGCACTCACGCACACGCCAAAATAATTCAAATATTTTATAATGAATAAATGACCTTTGGTGGGGTCAATTAAAGAGGGCGTTGGATTTAATTTGATCGGAAGTTTTTGTGTTGTTGGCCCGACTCCTCCCTCTTCTTCTTTTCTTTTTAATACTTCATAAATTATTATTATTATTATTATTACTAATCAATGACCTTAACGTTTCAGGTCAAGTTTTTCTTTTTTTTTTAATTTCCTAGTATTTCGTAAATTTTTTTTTTTTTTTACTAATTAAAAATAATAATAATAATAATAATAATAATAATAATAATAATAATAATAATAAAATAAAATTAATTTTTTATTTATTACTTTTTATTTTTTATTATTATTATCATCATCATCGTCGTCGTAATTACAAAATACAAATTTAAATAACATTAAAAAACGTGAAAAAATTATTTTTACAAATAATAATAATAATTATTATTATTAATATTAGTATTAGTATTAGTATTAGTATTATTATTATTATTATTATTATTATTATTATTATTAATATCGACGAAAGGCACCGGTTATCAGCCCTGATTATTAAATTATTAATTTTTATTTATTTATTTATTAAAACCCCCCCCACCCACTACTACAACGATCGAGAGCTTTAACCTACTTAAAAAAAATAATGATAATAATAATAATATTAATAATAATAATAATAATAATAATAATAATAATAATAATAATAATAAAACAAGCATTTGATTTATATTACATATAATATAACAATTTACAAAATAAAAAAAAGGAAAAAATTTTTTTTTCTTCCTTTTTTTCCTTTTTTACCTTTTTCTTTGCTTTTACAAATCAAAAACAAAAATCCTTTTTTTTTTTTAATTTTCCTTTTTTCCTTTGCGATTAAAAATTAAACGAAAAACAAAAAAAAAATTTACATTAATAATAATAATAATTAATTTTTTTTTTACTCGTTAAAAAGCGAAAAATCCAAAAAAGAAAAACAAAAAAACAAAAAAAAACAAACAAACAAACAAACGAACAAACAAAAATAAAGGCACTCTCTCTACTACTTTTACTCATATATATATATATATATATATATATATATATATATATATATATATATATATTGTTATGAACCCATATCAAGTGTGATGTATTTTTCGATAAATGAGTGAGAATAGTGACTCCATTTACATGGTAGACGCAAAGTCAGCATGTCTGGAGATAGTGATTCCATTCACATGTTAGACGCAAAGTCAGCATGTCTGGAGATAGTGATTCCATTCACATGTTAGACGCAAAGTCAGCATGTCTGGAGATAGTGACTCTATTCATATCATAGACACATAGTCAGCATTTCTGGAAGCTTCGCTTTTCTTATCTAATCTTAAGTGCTAGTGAATGAATAATGTCTAGCGATAGTCAGAACTTATAAAAGGAGGCTGAACGTCTCAGCCAGGGTTCTTGTTTCTCTGCACTTTGTTCTTGTTGCACAACTCTTCGTTCTTGGTGTTCGACTCTTAGTTCATCGGTTTCTCCTGATATCTTAGAGTTCAACTTGTGTCTAGGTCTAGTTTTGTGATTGTGCTTACAACTAGTAGTGTTCATAACATTATTTTAGTGACTAATTTGTTCTGTACGTGTAACATGTTGTAAAATGTTCTTATGTTGCTTACAATCAATATAATTCTTCTTTCGTTAAAAGTGTGTTCGATTTCAATCTTGAATAATACCACGAACGCGGAGGAAGATCAACGTTGTGAATCGATAATCGAATCGGGCCACGACATATTTATGGCGCAGTCGGTAGGATATTTCTGAACAACAGGAAATCAGAAGGATTTAAAGTAATTCTTTTCGTGTTGTTGGGTTTCAACTCTTTATCAGAAATTCTTTTTGTATTGTAAGTAAGTACAGATAGTTACTCATTTTTGTTGTGAACAATGCCTAGAACTGGTCAACCTGTTTTCGACCCATCCCAAATACCCCTTGATTTCTTGTGTAGTCTAGTTCCTAATTTCTTTTCCGGAGAAAGGAACCAACTTAATGCATTTATCTCTGATTGTGATAATGCTTTTGAACTGTCCTCTGAAGAGAATAAGTACCCACTCTTCAGATTCATCTACTCCAGAATCACTGGTAAAGCCAGGATTCAAATTTCTATATACGATTTTAATAATTGGGATGATGTAAAAACAAAACTAATAGAATTATACCAAGACAAGAAACCCCATAGTCAACTGATAAAAGGGTTGACCAATCGCAAACAAGAATCAGCATGTATCCACTATGAGGATAACACAATAAAGTTGAAGGAAAAACTTCAAATTTTAGAAGTTACAGAATCCAAACTTGAAGTTGAAGGAAAAACAGATCCTTTACCAGAATCAAAACTTAAAGTTGAAGAAAAAACAGATCCTTTACCAGAATCAAAACTTAAAGTTGAAGAAAAAACAGATCCTTTACCAGAATCCAAACTTGAAGTTGAAGAAAAAACAGATCCTTTACCAGAATCAAAACTTGAAGTTGAAGAAAAAACAGATCCTTTACCAGAATCCAAACTTGAAGTTGAAGAAAAAACAGATCCTTTACCAGAATCCAAACTTGAAGTTGAAGAAAAAACAGATCCTTTACCAGAATCCAAACTTGAAGTTGAAGAAAAAACAGATCCTTTACCAGAATCAAAACTTGAAGTTGAAGAAAAAACAGATCCTTCACCAGAATCCAAACTTGAAGTTGAAGAAAAATCAGATCCTTTACCAGAATCCAAACTTGAAGTTGAAGAAAAAACAGATCCTTTACCAGAATCAAAACTTGAAGTTGAAGAAAAAACAGATCCTTTACCAGAATCCAAACTTAAAGTTAAAGAGAAAACAGATTCTTTACCAGGATCAATTCCTGCTCAAGAGGAAAAAGCACCCTCTACAAATTTATCTAAGAAAAGGGCTAAAGAAGCACCCTCTACAAATTTATCTAAGAAAAGGGCTAAAGAAGCACCCTCTACAAATTTATCCAAGAGAAAGGCTAAAGAAGCACCCTCTACAAATTTATCTAAGAAAAAGGCTAAAGAAGCACCCTCTACAAATTTATCCAAGAGAAAGGCTAAAGAAGCACCCTCTACAAATTTATCTAAGAAAAAGGCTAAAGAAGCACCATTACTTCCTAAAAATAAAAATAAGAAAAAAGGTCTAAAAGTAAAAGAAGTGAAAACAAAAGGAAAAGAAAGATCATCCATACAGAATTCAAACCTTAAAAATAATCCTAAGGCTAAAATTCAAAAGAAAACAAAAATTTCAAATAAAAATATAGGAGCTACTAAAAAAATTCACAAGCATAATTTTGGGAAGCATACTAAAAAGCGGAAATGGAATTCCAGTACCAAGAAAACCAGGAAGAAAGCAACTGTTTTTATATCAACTAGTTTTCACGAAAAGACTATTCCTGAAGTAAAGCTATTTTTACCGAGTAAAGTTCAGTTATTGCCTAACGAAGAAGACGGAAAAGGTCAATTGAAAAACAGCGATCCAGATCCTGAAAAAGTTCCAAGAGAAAATCTAAATAAAAATAAAATTAAGTCTAAACAAATTTACTACAATATTCCCAAATTTAAAGGACCCTATGAAATCAAGAAAGTAACTGGTAGCAATATCCAATTAAAAAATTCGTAATTAGTTGCTGATCCTGTTAACAACACAACCGTGTTCTAAGTAGATGAAAAAACTTATTTTTCCTTTTTAACTTTATCCAGTCATAACCTAATCCTTTTTGCGTTCACAATTGAGTATTATCTGGAAATACTTCCACTACTTACAATTTCAATTTAAAATCATGTTACTACGGAACAGAACAAGATATCCAGTCATAGCATCTACCCGAGAACTTCTCATCTTAAACGAATTCTGCAAGAGTCAGCAAAGGAAAATTTCCAATTTCAACAAAAGGAGAAAACAAATTTTTTCTTTTCCAAAAAAGAAAAAATTGTTTTCCTTCTTAAGGGGGGAGGTGTTATGAACCCATATCAAGTGTGATGTATTTTTCGATAAATGAGTGAGAATAGTGACTCCATTTACATGGTAGACGCAAAGTCAGCATGTCTGGAGATAGTGATTCCATTCACATGTTAGACGCAAAGTCAGCATGTCTGGAGATAGTGATTCCATTCACATGTTAGACGCAAAGTCAGCATGTCTGGAGATAGTGACTCTATTCATATCATAGACACATAGTCAGCATTTCTGGAAGCTTCGCTTTTCTTATCTAATCTTAAGTGCTAGTGAATGAATAATGTCTAGCGATAGTCAGAACTTATAAAAGGAGGCTGAACGTCTCAGCCAGGGTTCTTGTTTCTCTGCACTTTGTTCTTGTTGCACAACTCTTCGTTCTTGGTGTTCGACTCTTAGTTCATCGGTTTCTCCTGATATCTTAGAGTTCAACTTGTGTCTAGGTCTAGTTTTGTGATTGTGCTTACAACTAGTAGTGTTCATAACATTATTTTAGTGACTAATTTGTTCTGTACGTGTAACATGTTGTAAAATGTTCTTATGTTGCTTACAATCAATATAATTCTTCTTTCGTTAAAAGTGTGTTCGATTTCAATCTTGAATAATACCACGAACGCGGAGGAAGATCAACGTTGTGAATCGATAATCGAATCGGGCCACGACAATATATATATATATATATATATATATATATATATATATATTTTTCTTCTGCTTTTTCTCCTAATCATCTTGTGTAGAAAAAAATAATAATATTAATGATATTATTTATCGTATAAAAAAATATAATAAATGTTATTTAAAAATAATGAGCTTTCAAATTTTTTTCCTTTTTTTTTCTTCTGCTTTTTTTTTTTGTATTTCTAAATACAAAAAAAAAATTCTTTATTACTATTATCATTATTAACGTCGCTTTCGTTTTAAAAAAAAAAAAAAAAAAAAAAAATTTTTCCCACCGAAACAATAAATTACGTCGACGTAAAGTACGAACGTACGAGCGAACGGTTCTACCGACGAGATGAAATCTCACGTTTGTTTTAAAAATTAAACATAATGATGATTGAAAAATGACAACAAACCAAAAACAAAATTTTTCTTTCTCCCCTTCTTTTTAAAAGGTTAACAAATAATAATAATACTACAACAATAAACAAACAAACAAACAAAAAGAGTAAAAAAAAAAAAAGTAAAAAAAAAAAATTATTCCAAAAGTGTCGTCGCGACTTTAAAAAAAAAATTAAAAATAAAAAATTCATTTCCGGCAAGAAAATTTCACATTCATCCTTCTCCCCATCCCCTCCTCCCCTTCCCTCTTTTTCCTTTTTCCTGTAGAAAAAAAACCTGAAAATTCGAAAGACCGAACGGGTAAAAAAAATCAATAATCAATAATAATAATATGGCACGACAGGAAAAATCCATTTTTTTTTTTATTTCCCTCTCACGTTGGACAACCTGAAAAAGAGACGCAGAACGGCAATCCTGACCAAAAAAATAAAAATTTTCTTCTTCTTCTTCTTCTTTATCATTCTTCTCCGAACGTTTGTAACGGGTAAAAACAAAAACAAAAACTGGAAATGATTTTCCAGACTAAGAACCGTGTTCGAATTCTTGATAACCTTCCGCACCGGTAAAAATGACGTCGACCCAAATTCTCATGGCTTCCGGATTTGGCGCCATTAAATAATACGTTCTCTCGTGTGTTTTTATTACGAACGTCACGTGGGGATTCGGGGATTTGACAGAGTTGAGATGATCCACGTAAACTTCTTCGATGGCCTGAAAGAAACAAAAAACAAAAAAAAAAAAAAAACAAACGATTACGTCATTAATTTTTCTTCTCCGTGTTTTCTCTCTCTCTCTCTCTTTCTCTCTCCCCGAAAAATTTTCCATCGACTCAACTCACTTGAAAGTACGTGCCTCCCCTTTGTTTCTTTTCCGTTTTGTCCATGTAATAGGTAAGAGTTCGTTTCGTTCTATCGAAAACGAACCATCTTTTATTCCAATGATGAAATTTTCCACCCAATTTATGGAGTATCCCTCTACAAGAGGTCGAATCTATGAAAACGTGAGGGCAAAGGTCAACTTGATGACCCGCGGATTCTATGTGTTGCCTCAAATTGAGGGATTCGCTTTTGATGGGCAAATACCTCGTCAGGGGCCTTTGCTGGAAAATCACAGAAAAAAAAAAAATTTTTCAACGGAATTCACGAAGGCGGGAGGGAGGACAGGGGTCGGGCGGGGTCAGGAGGTCAACAAAAAAAATTTTTTTTTTTCTTACCTGAATAAGTTTGGCCGGTTTAAATTCTCTTTTTTTCACGTTGACCTGATGATCGAATTCCGATCCCGAATAATCGGATATAGGTCTGGAATTGCGAAATTCTCCAGAATCTGATTCTTTTCGCATCTTCGAAACAAACAAAAAAAAATAATGATAATAATAGTGATAATGATAATTATTAAGCGTGAAAATAAATATAGTATAAAAAATTTTTAAGGGCTTAAATTGAACGTTTGTTTTATATTTCGACATTTTCATTCGCATTCGTTTCGTTCGTTTGTTTGTTTGTTTTGTTCGTTCGTTCGCTCGTTCCTTCTTCGTTTATTTGTTTTGCAAACAATTAACAAAAAAATAAATAAATTAATTAAATTTTTTTTTTTTGCGGGGGCGGTACGCGGGGTTTTAATCTACGCATAAAAAAAATTTTCTTTTCAATTTATTTTAAGTAATTTTTCCCGATTATTACGAATTTTCCCGTCGTCGTAAATAAAAATTTTACGCGAACATAAAAAAAAAAAAATCAATAAAATCGTTAAAAAAAAAAAAAGTGATTGTTTTGGTTTACTAAGAAAGATGACGACGACAGCAAAAACGCAACAACAACAACAGCAGGAGGAGGAGAAAGAATTTTCGGGCGTAAAAATGAGTCAAAAGGTTTTTTTTTCTTTTCTTTTTTTTTTTTTTTACGGATTCGACATTTTAACTTATTTTTCTTTTTATATGTATATAACCCTCTCTCTTTCTCTCTCTTTTTCTGACTCACTACTCTCTTCCTTCGCTTTCTCTCTCTCTCTCTCTCTTTCCCTCACTCACTCACTCACCCTCCCCACGGTTTCGATTTTGTTCAATTTTATTTTCTCCCACTTCTATTACTATTAAAAATATTTTTCTCGGGAGAATCAAAATGGCAATAATAAAATTCCACATGCTAAACAACTCCTGGGGGGCTCGAAATCATCCTTCGCAGAATTCGAAATCGATTCTCAAAGCATTCTTTGTCAGCAGTGATGCCAACTATTTAAACGCAATTTTTTTTTTTTTTTTCTCGAAAATTGTTTCACATAAAAATCTAAAAATATATATAAATATTTTTCTTTTATTTTCTTTTCTTTCTATTTTTTTCATTTCAAAGCTGCCACGATGATGATGATAATCACAATAATAATAATAACAAACGATGAACGCGATCTAAAAAAAAAAAAAAAAATTCTCGCGCGTATGCGTGCGGCATGAAATTACAAAAAATAAATAAATTAAAAAAAAAAAAAAAAAAATAGGCAGGGCCTTCGCTCCTTCTCGTGCACGAAACTTTTTCATTTAAATCATGGCTGCCAATCTAACAACAGGAACAGCAGCAGCAGCAGAAGCAAAAATAAAATTTCTACCGGATTTTAAACAATTCCCTTCACGCAAATTTTCACTGACGACGAAAGAAAGAAATTTAATTTTTTTTTGTCCCCCTCTCTCTTCTTTTCCTTCTTTTTGTTTCTTGAAAATCATCATCATCATTATCGTCGCTAAAAAGCCTTGGAAAATTGTCAAAAGGATTTCATTTCGGATCACCGACCCGAATATTCGAAAGCGAAACAATACTTATAATTTACAATATTATATATATATATATAATAAAACGCTCGCGGCACGCGCTTATTTATTATCATCATTATTAATATTAATATCAGCGTGATTAATAATTATTATCACTAAGTGTCCGTTTAAATTAAACTAGGCCGTTTCGTATTATTATTATTATTATTATTATTATTATTATTATTATTATTATTACTAATTGACTTTTCCCAACGCTGACTGAGTGCGTGTGCGTGTGGGCCGCAAATTCATTCAAAAAAAAAAAAAAAAAAGAAAAAAAAATCGTTCATGTAATTGAAAATTATTACAACGTAATAAATTTTTCATTTAAAAAAAAAAAAAAAAAAAAAAAACCCGCATTTCCCCCCCATCCCCCCTCTTTCTTTCACACGCACGCACACACCATACCGTCCATACCGATTTTATATATACATGCATATAATCGAATGAAAATATATAAGCGGTAAAATATTTTCTCGAATGCTTACGATTCCCTGGAGACGTTGTCAATTTAAAAAAAGAAAAAAAAAAAAAACAAAATAATAATGATAATAATGATAGTCACGGAACACGAACCCCCTTCCCTCCTTCTAGTCCCCTCCCTCTCCCCATCCAGTCACCCTTCGATTGAAATATACAAAACAAACGAAAATTGATGTAAACCGCAAAACTAAATCTCATAACACCGATTTTGTAGTCAATAAAAAAAAAAAAAAAAAAAAATTAAATGACAAAGAAAATAAAATCCGACATGCGTCGGTCGGAATAAAAAAAAATAAAAAAAATAAATAAATAAATAAATAAAAATAAAATCTCAAAACGCATTAAAAAAAAAAAAGAGTCAAAGGAAAAAAAGGAAAAAAAAAAGGAAAAAAAATGGCAAATGATGAATCTCGAAACGTGAAAAATTCCCTCAGGAGGTTGTCAACCATTAAATTTCCATTGAAAATAAAAACAAAATTACAATTTTCTCCTTTCTCTCTCTCTCTCTCTCTCTCTCTCTCTCTCACTCTTTCTCTCACTTTATAAATATGTATGTATTCTTGTACGTGTGTAAAGGCGCGTCCGCTCGCGAGAGAAAGACAGAGAAGCAGAGAGAGAGAGAGAGAGAGAAATAGGCTTATGTAAATTGTAGTAACGAAAACTTTTGATGCGAAAGGTTTTTTCGACGACATTAAAATTCATGTTTTTATTGATATGTCCCGAATAGTTTCCGTTCCTGTCTCTCTCTCATTCACTCACTCTCTCTCTCTCTCTATATATATATATATATATAAATTTTTAAAGTCCGCTCCGGTCGTGGTAGGAGATGGAAAAAAAAAAAGAGAGAGAGTGTGTGTCAGTCCGTTCATATTTTTTTTGATAACATTATCATAATTCAAATTTACATTTACGACAAATAAAAATTACATTTTTTTTTTTTTATAGAAAAAGTTTCGATGATTTTTCGAAAATAAAAAACTGATAACTTAACAGAATTCGAATTCGCACGTGCGTGTGTGCGTGTCAAAGAAAATAATGACGAAATCGCGGCGAATCAGTAATTAAATAAGTAACTAAAAAAAAAAAAAAAACAATTATAAAGGCGGCGTCACGATAATCTCACCGACAAACAAACAAACAATCAAACAGGTACAAGAAATGCTTTCTCCCCGCAACCCCACCCCTCCTCTAGGCAACAATTTATTCCCATTTACTTGAAAATTTTCCCACGGATCTTTTCCCTCATGGAATCATCCGAGCGAGAATAAAAAAAAAAAAATTTTTTCCTTTCTATAAAATTTCATATTTGACACGCGTTAATGAAACACGTTCGTATCGAACGTGTGTGTGTGTGCGTGTGTACACACACTTTCAAACACGTTCGTTACGTGTTAAAAAAAAAAAAAAAAAATATTTCATATTAAAACACAAAATAAAAAAAAATTCAAATTAATAAAAAAAAAAAATGAAATAAAATTCAATTTCGTTCTCGTTTTTAAAAATAAAAAAAAAAATCCGTCGCGTGTTTGTTTGATTTGTTCGTTTGTTCAACAAACAATATGTAAATTTCTGAGATGCGTTGGGGAAAAGCGTAAATATGCAAATAAAAAAAAAAAAAAAGAATAGGACGACCGATTATAACCGTTCCTTTCACAAAAAAAAAAAAAAGAAATTTTTTTTTTCAAGTACCTGAGGATGATGAGATGATGGTAGGAGCAACCTTCTTCTTTTAGGTTGTTTCCTCCTATACTTAACTTTTAAATAATTCATCCAAAGTGACATTTTGAAATTTTTTCTATCTATCTATCTCTCTCTTTCCCTCCAATCAAAACCGATACGTATATATTTTACTAAACTTTGATTTTTTTTTTTTTTTTTGCGTTTACGTTCACATTATTAACCGTTCGAATTATTATTATTATTATTATTATTATGTTGGTAATGATTTCATTTATCCGTTCGCACAATTTCAATCGTTTTTTAATCAAAAATCAAATAAACCCAAAAAAAAAAAATTCTAACGAGGAATCTTTGAAATGGTTCACTGCCAAGGTAAAACAAGACAAAAAAAAATTGCATCACACGAAATTCGGACACTAAATAAAAAAAACAATTCACTTTTTTCCTTTCCCCCCACAAAAAAAAAAAAAATAAAAAAAAAATTTTTTCGAATTGAATCACTTCCGCATTTTCTTTCCCGTTTAATCACGGGGGACCCGCATTTGATTGCTCGTTAAACTTCTTTTAAACAACATCGGAACAAAAGTGAAATTTTTTCTTTTAATTTTTTTTTTTCTTCTTTCATTCTTTAATAAAAAAAAAAAAAAAAAAAGAGAGCGATAGAAAGAGAGAGAAAGAAGAGGGAGGGGGCGTTCACGTGATCAAACCATTAACTTTGTCCTTCGTTTTGGCTCTGCGTGCGTGTGTGTGTATATGAGTGAAATTCGTTTAAAAGCTCTTAATAATTTCTATTTACTTTTGTTTGTGTCGAATTCGCCTCGAGTACGAATTAATAAAACAAATTTTTTCTTTTTCTCTTTTCCAATCGATCGTTTGTTTAATAAATAAATTTCAATTAAATTTTAATTAAATTTAAATTAAATTTGACTTTCTCCATTTTCGATTTATCGAATAATAATAAAAAACAATACATCGATTGTTAATCATTTTTGCTTTTCTTCTTCGCTTTCTTCCTTTCCTTCCTTTACGTTTTCCACGTTTTCCAAAAATTAATTAAAGTTATCATCATCATCATCACCACTACCACCATCAACATTATGACGTCTCAATAATTTTTTTCGTACGAAACGAATTTTTTTAACGTGTGAGCGAAATGTTCGATTTTGTCGCAAAATCACTTTCGAAATAAAAGAGCAAAGGGAGAGATAGAGAGAGAGAGAGAGAGAGAGAGAAAGAGAGAGAGAAAGAGAGAGAAAGAGAGTGGGAAAAACAAAAACAAACACATCAAATCTCAAAAAACTCACCCCATCCCTTTCCCCGAGTCGGAAAAACTTACTAATTTACATACGTGATGATTTTCTCTCGTTTCCTTTTTTCCCAACGCGCTCCCTTCGCGGCAAAATAATTTTTGTTTCCAACAGCTTCCCCTCACCCCTCTCCTCCCTTCCCCTACTTCATTCAGCCGTACGTACGACAACCCATTCGAAATGATCTTTCGATATTTAAATAATTATTCCACCTGTTGTTGTCGTTTTTCAAAAAAAAAAAAAAAAAAAAAAAATGCCAAAAACCGATTTGAATTTCGTGCCAAAAAAAAAAATGTCCCATAATGGCGATACCGCAAAAATTTCATTCATTTCCGGTTTTTTTTTTTTTTTCAAAAAACGACCGACTTCACCGACCGACCACTCATTTAATAATCCTCCCACTACAAAAATTTCACATTAAAAACGAATATTCTAGAAATTTTTTTTTTTTCTTTTCTTCTTTCTTCTTTTTCCATTTGGTTTGAATGATGATGATGATGATGATGATGATGATGATAATGATGATATTAATAAATTTTCAAGTGATTTCAAAATCAAATTAACGAAACGTTTAAAGAGCAATAATTTTTTTAAACGATTTGATAACCTCTTTCGACTTTCGTAATATCTTTTGGTCAAAAAACGTATAAAAACGGCAGCAAATCAAATCGAATGAATTAAAAAAAATTTTACTTGATGTTGTCCCCCCACACCCCAACCTAGCCCCCCATCAAAAAAAAAAAAAAAATGTTTCCGGTTTTTTTTTTCCGGGAAAAATTTCTAAATTATTATTATTATTCTCTTGCGTCCGTTTCGAAAAAATTTTTCGCACTCGTAGACGCCCCCCCCCAACGTTCGCTGTCGACGAACATGTTTTTCTTCCTCCCTCGCCCCCCTCATTAGCATCCCTAATCTTTTCGAAAGCGGTGAAGGACAAACTCGAGTTTCGACCGTTCAAAGAATTTCCATTTGGTCGAATTGAATGACGGGAAAATTCGTCGCGCGAAGGAAAACAAAAAAAAAATTTAATAGGGGGAGGGGGGAGGGAAAGTTCACGAAGGTCAAATTTTTTTTCTTTTTCTTTCTCTCTCTGTTAACTGTTAACGTCATCATCCATTATCATCGCCCTTGAATTTTTTATTAAATAAATAAACAAATGAAATGCATGTGCAAAATGTCGTTACAGGTTTTTTTTTATTTTTATTATCAATTAAATGTGTTATTATTGTGTGAATTTTTAACGCAAAAAAACAACAAACAAACAAACAAACAAACAAACAAACAACAAATTTGATTCACGTTTTTCCTTTGATTTCCCCCTCCCCCCACTTTTTTTAAAAAATATTTTTAAATAATTAACCATCAAATCAAAACCCACTCGAACGTTTTTTAATAGGTCATCATTTAAAAAAAAAAAATCGACTTCATTTTTTTTTTTTTTTTTAACACGCTGTTGTCACAATCGAACAAATCGTTTTTTTTTTTTTCATGTGTGTGTGTGTGCGCGTTTGTATATATTTTCGTAACTTTCTAGAATCTTCTTCGTTTTTATCCGACGATACGTCGTTTTTAAAAAAACATAAAAACAAAAAAAAAAAAATTCGCCAAATGTTTTCGATCCGTTCGTTCGTTCGTTTTTTTTCCGTTTCAATTTTAATTTTTTATTCCGACCATCTTCGACGTTCGGACGAACGCTTTCGAAACAACAATATTATTATTATTATTATTTAAAAAAAAAAAAAAAAGCGAACCAGATAAGCAAACTTTTTTTTTCTAAGATGAAAAAATGATATTCGCAACGGTTAACATTCTACGTGTGCCACAAAAAATTTGGCAAGTTGAAAAAAGTAAAATTTTAAATAATGATAATGATAATAATAATAATAATAATAATAATAATAATAATAATAATAATGACGATGATGATGATAAACGATTTGTCTTTAGCTTTAAAAAAAAAAAACTATTAATAAATTTCGCGAATTCGTCTTTAGTTCCGTTAGTCAGGCACAAAACAGCTAACCTTGTCATTTTTATTTGACCCAATTTTTCCATTTTCATAAACTATAAAAAAACCATCATCTTACGATTTATGAGGGAAAGGGGAAGGGGGAAAAGGAAAAAAGAAAGAATCAAACAATCGATTAATCGAAAAAAACAAAAAAAACAAAAAAAAAAACGCGAATTCGACATCAAACTTTTCTTTTTTACCAAAAAAAAATTTTCTCAACAGACTTAGTAATCAAGACTTGCATCGAAGCGAGATAGAAAGAGAGAAAGAAAGACAAAGAAAGAGAAAGAGAAAGAGAGAGAGAAAAACAAAAAAAAAAACTTTTCATCGATTCATCCATTTTTTTTTTTTTTTTTTTTTTTTTCAATAGGAAAATTCAAATAAATTACGCGAAAAATTTCAACAAAAAAAAAAAAAAAAAAGGAAAATCCGAATCGGAATTTTCAAACTTAAAAAATTTTATTTTTTTTTTTTTTTGTTGGCTGAGATTCTCCCGACGCCGCAATTTTTTTTTTTTTTTTTTTTTTTTTTATTATCAATCATTTACGTAATAAAAACGTTTTTCTCGAATTTTTTTTTTTTCTCGTTCAAACAAACACGTGGACCGGAAAATAAACTTTTTCATCTTCATATTTTTTTTTTAATTAATTAATTATAAATTAAATAAAATAAAAGTAAAAAATTAAGACACTCTCTTGTAAAAAAAAAAAAAAAAAAAGAAAAAGAAAAAGTTTTGATCGAATGAGTGAGAGAGAGAGAGAGAGAGAGAAAGAGAGAAATCGTTTCGAAATAAATGAAAACTCGATTCGAACACGTTTCAACAATTATTATTATTATTATTATATAAATTTTCTTCCAAAATTTTCAATTCGATTGATAAACTTGTAACGAAATAATAATAATAAATAAATAAATAAATAAATAGATGGATGGATAAAATGAAATCTTAAATCAATATTTAAATAAACGATATAAATAATTTTTAATCGAATTCGAAATTACGTTCGGCGGTCGAAATATTGTCTTCGTTCAAGAGACAAAGAAAGAAAATAATTTTCCGTGCCTGGTTTGGGAAAGTGTTTGCCATGCTCCCCCCCCATCGCCCTTTCCTCCGGCCCTTTCCGTTCGTTCGAAACGGAAATATAACCCGTCTTCCGGTTTTTTTCCTTTCGCTCTTCCCATTCTCCTCCCATCTATCCCCCATACCCGCCCTCGTCTCGCGATATTTAATCAAGTTTTGGTAAAACGTTCGCATTCGTGAGTTCTCGTACTTTTTCGCGTAAAGTTTTGAAACAATCATACATACAGTAAAAAAGATGATTGGCTTACCTTATCGTAAGAACTTGCCGAACTTCTTGCGTCTTGTGATAAAATGGCTCCAGGCAAAGACTTTTCAATGTCGTCACTGCTTGCACTGGAAAATAACAAGAAAAAAAATTTTTTTTTTACATTTTGGATGTTACACGGCGCACGTAAGTAGCCCCCCCCCCAAAAAAAAAAAACGATGGAAATAATTTAAAGCTATAACAAGAAAACAAACAACTGCAACGAAAAACAACAACAACAAAAACAAAATTTGACAAAAAACAGAAAAATTTCGAATTGAAAAAAAAAAAAAAAAAAACATTTTAAACCCCTCCTTTTTTCAACGAGAGAGAGAGAGAGAGAGAGAAAGAAACAAGAAATAATAATAATAATAATAATAATGATAATAAATCTAAATATTTTTTAAAACTTTTTCTCCATTTTGGACATTTAAAAAAAAAATTTTTTTTTTTCAATCATTATGATCTGGGACGTCAAGTTTGACGTCATGGAATGTCTGAACAAAATGTAATAATAATAATAATGAAATCCTTTCTTTTTAATCTGTCGTATTGACCAATAAATGTGCATAATACCTTTCTGTTGGATGATCGCTGCAGGTGACGTTGGATTCTTCGCTCCCGACGCTGTTTAAACTATTGCATTCTCTCTGACGACTTTGCTCCCACTGTGCTCTAACTTCATCCTGTGCTCTTCTTTTCAATTGCTCAACTCTTTTCCTCTCCTCTTCGATAACGTGACTACCTATTAACAATCATTTTTTTTTTTTTTTTTTATTTGTCTTTGGCAAAAAACAAAAAAAAAGAAAAAAAAAAAAAAAAAAAAAGGAAGCCATATATTATGTAAAAATTGAGCGACCGCCAATTAAAAGTTTTTTTTTTTTTATTTTTAAAGACGACACGACTCCAAGATTTTAAATAATCTTCGGCTCTGCATCCTCCTCATTCTCCCCTCCCCTCACTCCCTCCCTCCCTCTTTTTTCTTTCTTCTTTACCATTTAAGCTTTACGGTCTGGTGAAAATTTGAATAACATTTACCCTGTTTAGCCAGGTGCAACTGTCGATTCTTTTCAATTTCCTTCAACGATTCTAATGTTTTCCTTCCGAGTGATCCAGTTTTGCCAACATCGATGGGCGCATTTGACGTCACTTTACTAATTCTGACTAAATCCTCTTGAGAACGTTTCGAACGTTGATTGTCTTTTGAATTTATGGAACCCTAACAAAAAAAAAAAAAAAATTTCTTTTCGTAATCAGACATGAAGTGATAATCTCGGCGATAATAATAATAATAATAATTACAACGATTACCGCGTAACACTTTACCCAAACTTAACAAACACTTATAATCCTAACCCCTAAAATCATTAAACCAATTTTTTTTTTATTTGTAATAAAGATAAAATTACCTCTTCAGAACCGGAAATGTTATCCGGATTAGATTCCGCGGATAATCTAACGTCTAATTCTTTTAATTTCTTTCTGGCTTCTTCCATTTTTTGTTGTAATTTAATTTTTTGAAGTTCCAACGAGTTACTTTCTTTTTGCGATAATTTTTCAACGTCTCTTATCTGATCTTCGAGTTCCGAAAGTCTCATCTTTCTCTCGTCTATTTTTTTACTTATTTCGTTCACGTCTCTCTGAAGTTCATCTTTGGTCGCCAACCAATTGGCTTCTTCTTCCAAATGCTTGAATTCTATGTCTTCGAACAATTTCCTTTCCGCTTCTAATTTTTCAACGGAATTTTTATAGTCTTCGGAAAATTCTTTTTCCTCTCCCAGCTTTTCTTCCATTTTCGACAATTCTTTTTTCAATTCCATTATTCTTTCGTTGCAATTCCTTTGCGTTTCCGTATCTCGACTCTTGCACTGATCTATTTCGACGTCGAGTTGTTTTTGCTTATCTCTCAGCGAATCGAGTTTTTCTTCGTCCAATTTTTGCTTTTCTTTTTCGGATAAATATTCAGCGTTGAGAAGAGCCATTTCCATTTTAATCTGAAACAACAACGATTGAAAATAAATAAATAAATAAATAAAAAAAGAATGACGACGATTTCAACGGAAATTATTTAACTGTTTACCTCTCTGAGTACTTCCTCTTCTTGTTGTTCTAAATTATTAATATCCGATTTCAGTCTAGTAACGATACCCAACAGCGTAGATTTTTCCACTTTGAGTTTTCCCCAATCGACCGAAGGTTTTTTCTGTCTTAGAAAACTTTCAGTTTCGCATAAATTTTCTTTGGCATTTTCATTATTTTTAACTCTGAGTATGTCCCTCTCGGATTCTGGCAAATCGTCGTTTAATTCGTCGTTTGCCCATGATTCTTCTCTCTGCGTCATCATCTGTTCTTTCTTCGTCAATTCCGTAATTCCTCCAGTGTTTTTATCCGCTTCTTCCAATTCGGAGAGTGTGGCAGAAAATTCTTTCTCCAGCGAAGTCATCAAATCCGTTAAATCTTTGGCGTTATCAAGGGGTAAAATAAATTTGAAATTTTCCATTGTCTCCTGGTCTGAACAAACTAAATTATTTAAATTGCTGAATTTATTCAACTGTTGACTCGGAGTAAGGTATTTTCTATTTTGCATGTTGGGCGAAATATCCCTGTATTTTACTGGATCTGCCGTGTCGTAATCGTCAAATCCTGATAATTTTCTAAGAGCGTGATTGGTTGCCTCTTTCGATTGATCCCGAACGGTCGTTCGTATTCTTGTACGAGGACTTTGTGGCGGTATAACCTTTTCGTGATTTTGAGGATTTATAACGAGGGTATTTTCAACGTACACGTGCTTGCTCACGACCGACGATATATCGTATTGTTCCTGTCCTTCGACGACGTTCGATGAACTTTCGTGCAAACGAGACGATTCTGGATTACTTTCGCTTTGAAGGACGCCGTTGATCACGTGAACGTTATCGTAAAGGCAATATCCCGAATTATTCGGCAAATTCGGCGAGTCGAACGTGAATACTTGACCGAATTCGTCATCCGAATTCCCTGCCAAAGGTGAAGGTAAACCGTTGTTTCGTTTTTCTCTCGGAAGCGAACCGTTCGTTTTGATTCTGAAATTAAATATATGCAAAAAAAAAAAACTAAAAAACAAAAAATTAACATCTCTAAATATAAACTTAAAGAAAAAACCAAAAAAAAAAAAAAAAAAAAAAAAAAACTACAAACTTATTGCGACAAACTTCCGGTAGATTACGAGAGAGAGAAAAAAAAAAAGAACAATCGCGATCAACGTATCGCAAAGAAGCGTGTAAAAATTATTATTATCACTACTATTGTCATTAACAATAAAATTATCGTAAAAAATAAATTCTTAATTTAAATTTTAAAAGCAGACTTTTCCTTTGCCCCCCCTCCTTTTTTTTTTTTTTTATCAAAACATCTTAACTTGCTAAAATAAAATAAACGTGTAACCTCGGTAAAAGCTTTTGAAACTACGATTTATTGTATGTAAAATGTGATTAAGACTAAATTTATACTCGACTTTTTTTTCTTTTTTTTTATCGCTTAGCGTTTAATTGCTCTTAATATTATGAATCATTTTAATTTTTTTTTTTTTTTTTTTTATTCTTACTTTATTTATTACCTCGTTCGTTTTGTTTTTATCTAAATTTCATTTTTTTAAAATTATAAATTTAATAAAAATGTCATCACGTAAACGAACAACCACTTTATTTTAAAATAATTTTCAATTGAAAATTTCAAGTTTTTAACAGTCAATCAAACACTCGCACACACGCGAGTTTTCCTATCGAAAAATAATAATAATAATTCCGTAACTCGTTTTAAATTACGTTCGTACAAACGGGAGCAAGTAAAGTAAAGATCAATAAATCGATAAATACAATTTTTTTTTTAATCAATCAATCGATCGATCACAAAACATGTGTACGCCACCTTCAGGAAAAAAAAAACAACAACAACAACAACAAAAGTCTCAACACGGTTAATAATTAAAAAGATTTAAAAAACAAAGTCGGTTTCCGTGCACGCACTTTAATTGCCTGCATCGAAGCATGACAACGACTAAAAATTAAAGAATGATACCCGCGACAGCCGAGGAGACATCACACACACACACACACACACATTACAGATAACTACACCGTTGAATAAACATAACAAACAATGACGTACTCGACTCGTCAAATAAAATAAAAAGTCTCGTCGAGCAAGCAAGCAAACAAACAAACAAACAAAAAAATTTGTTCAAAACTTTCCATCTCTTTTCATTTCAACCAATAGAAATTCATTATTAATGTTATGCGATTATGAAACGCGCGGGTAAAAATGATAAGAAAAATTGTTTGTCGACAAACGAAATGCAAAATAACGACAAAACCGTTGCTTTTTATCATCAATCCGAACGCACACGCACGCAGAACGGGTGCAGGCCCCTTCGTTAATAAATAACAAGAAAATATACCGATCGTATAATTAATTGAAATTAAAGATATACAAATTGTTACGTAACAATCGCGGACGCCATATTAATAATTTTTTTCTTTAAACGTGTACGTAAATAAATAAATAAATAAATAAATAAATTTTTACCTTCTAGTTTTTTCCAAACACTTTTTTTTTATACAAAAAACGAATCCATAACAAATTCAGATGTAAACCGCGATAAAATTCGTTGTTGTTTTTTTATACAACGTATTATTTTATTTTATTTTTGTGATAAACCGTAATTTAATATTGAAATTATATATTTATATATATATATAAATAAGTACGTAAGAAACGAGTTCAGCAAATAACGCACACGCACACACGCACTCACACGCACGCACACAACAGCTTTCCGTGAAAATGGTATATACCATTAATTATAAAGAAACGAATTAGATTTTCCCGCAGGATAGTTAGTATCTATCATCTTAAAAAAAAAAAAAAAAGGCAAAGGTGTGGCTGACCGGCCGGACGGCTACCTTTCCTTATATACTATTCGAAAAATAAACGGCGAATATTAATAATGATAATAATAATAATAATAATAATAATAATAATATTTAACCTCGCCCCGAAAAAAAATTTTCAACCCATCATTTGTTTCCTTTTTTTTTTTCGGACATTTCACTTACGTAAATTTATTCTACGCTTTTTTTTTTTTTTTTAAATATAAAGCGAGAGAAAGAGAGAGAGAGAGAAACCTTCCATTACTTTCCTTTTTCGGTAACCTTTCTTCGTTTTCCTTTTTTTTTTTTTTTTCGCGGCGAACGAAACCGCCAAGATTTATCGGATTTTTAAACGCACGAACCTGATCGGGTTTTAATTAATGAGCCGATAACCAACGCTCGCAATTACGACGATTATTCAAGTTATAAAACCTCAATTTTTTTTTACAACTACTCAGGTATACTCTCTCTCTCTCTCTCTTTCTCTCTCTACAGCATCAACAAAGAGTCACTTGCAAGTCTGATAATAATAATAATAATAACTCAAAGTTTAAAACGAAAATAATAAACGCATTTTTTGCGGTATCGATTTTTAATATGTGATTCGATCGACGTTTCGATGCGTTCACGTGCACGCACGCACGTACGCACGCACAACGGTAATAAGAAAATCGTAAGAGAGAGAGAGAGAGAAAATGACCAAAAATAATAATAATAATAATATTCACGGACAATTTAATCTCGTGCTTGCCTTTTTTTCCTCTTTTTTTTTTTTTTTTTTTTTTGTTAAATATTTAATGTTTTTTTTCAACCTCGTAAAAGTTCGTTTTAAATTACTTTTCCTTTGTTTGATTGTAATGCCTTATGATGATGCTCTATTTCAACTCGTTCGCATATATGCACACGCTCCCGACACAACCAACGGTAGTTTCCTCTTTTTTTTTTTTAATGGCATAACAAAAAAAAACAAAAAATTCATTTTCACTTAATTATTCAAAACTCTTTTCTTTTTTTCTTTTTTAATTATAATTTTTTTTTTTCATTTCATCTCCATGACATTTCTCTTTTATTCATTGTAAGAAAAAATTTCCAGTTCGCATGTCCCGCCAAATGTAGACTAAGAATAATAGTTGTCATCTTTTTTTTTACAATTTCCTTATTCCTTTTACGACCGAATCATAGAATTCGCACACATCAAAACATTCATTCCAGTAGTAGTAGTTTTTAATTTAGGATATATATAAATATATTTAAGGTATACGAACCTATTTTGTTGCAACGTGGGCGTCGTCGGAACAACTTTTGTTTGTCGCTCGTTTTGAATTTGCCTTTCGTACTCGGCGCACATGTTTAAAATATCGTCCAGTCTCGGTTTTTCCGGTCCTCCTGTTTTTTCATCCTGCTTATTATTTGAGTAACGAACCTGAAAATTCACGTATAAAAGCATAAATTGAATAATATAAGCGAAAAATCTCGAAACTTCGACAAAATTTTAAATTCTAAGAATTAAAAAAAAAAAAAAAATTAAATTTGACCTGAGCAAAGAAATAAAACCATCTAGAGAAAAATTAAATGTTATGCGTGCAAGTATCGACTTGCATTAAAAAAAAAAAAAAAAAAAAGAGAGAAAAAGAAAAAGATTTGGGCTGGGTGAGGGGGGGGGTTGAATCATACCTGAAACAAATTTAAATCCGTTCTGTTGTTTGTGGATGATGACGAAGATGAGTCTTCGATTCCTGTCGTGTTGAATGCGAAAGAATCGGAAGACGAATTCGTGTGCGATTCAAAATATTCCGATTTATTTTGAAAGGATTTGTTTTGTGCGGAATTGGCATTTCTGGCATTGTAGGGAGGAAAAGACGGGCGTCCCGTTACGAAAGCGTTTCCCGTAATACTATGAAACTTATCAGGTACGTAAGGAGGATTCCTATTGAACGCTGGACTTGGAAGAGAAGGAACCTTTGGAGAGAGAACTTTGTTCATTTCCGCATCACTTTCCGGCGTCACCGAACCGTTCGTTTGATGACTCGACAAAGTCTGTGAAAAATTACAAAGTGACGGCTTTTGAGGAAAGCTGGATATTGTTTGAGGAATGGGCGGTTCCACGTAATCGAGAGTTCCATTTTCCGAAGGCACGGGTAGTGAAAGGAAACTGTTTTTGTTTTTGGCATCCGCAGACGCTAGCAGTCCGTTCGGAATGCGCGAATGTCCTAAAACGGCTGCAGCCGGAGAATTGACTGTGGCACTTCCGGGAGGGAAAACTTTTGGAGAAATCGATTTGACGTTTTTCCCGGAATTCGAAGAAAACATTTCGAATTTGTTTTGTTTGTTGTTCATCGACGACGATTCCGAACTCCCGCCATTCGCTTCCTCTAACGAATCTCTCGACCTTCTAAACGGAGGCATCGGTGGTTTTTTCTCGTATTGACCACCGTCTCCGTTTCCGAAAAAATTCAGGGGTGCCGCCATTGAAATTCTAGTGTTTGGAAAAAATTCTTTCATCAAATTAGCTTCGGCCGGATGATTGAATCGCAAATAATTAGAACGTCCGATGCACAGCATGCTCCCTTGTCGAAGACGAACAGGAGAAGTAACTTGTCGGCCGTCTACCGACGTCATATCAGCTATGGGATATAATGTGACGACACCTCCTTGATTTTCTATCACGCAATGCTTGGGCTGAACTCCAGTTCCTCTGAGTACAATATCAACTTCTGAGCTCGTGCCCATGGTAACCTTGCCTTGAACAAATAGAAAAAAAAAATAAAAAACCTGTGAAAATATGATAACAACCATTATCATTATTATTATTATTATTTAATTTCAAAAAAAAAGAATATTTGATACTTTTCTTCACACTTGAAAAAATATCATTTGAAATTTGAAATTCGAAAAAAAAAAAATTTTTTTAATCGTGACTGCAACTCTAAAAATAATTTTTTTTTTTATGAGTTTATTTCGTTACTTATTTATTTACATAAAAAATAAATAAATAAATCAATAAATAAAAATTTAATTTACGATAACGATCGAAAAAAATATTTACAAATAACCAAGGAAAAAAAAAAAAAAATTTCCTACGAATTAATGACAAAAATTTATAAATAAATAAATAAATACCAAACAAGAAGAAGAAGACAAAATTTTTTTTTTCTTTATTTAAACAAACCGACTAAACATTTTTATTTTTATCATTCCCCCCACGCCCTCTCCCCATCCCCCTTTTCCCCCCAAATAACGAAAACCATTGATAAATAAAACCTATGAATTCATATAAAAACATTTTTTTTTTTTTTTTGAAAACTCCAAGCATTAAATTTGAATAAAACCTAATAATTGACTTTGAAAAAAAAAAAATTCGAAGAGAAATACGAGGGGAGACGAGGGAGGGGAGACGGGTGGAGAGACACCGGCCTCCGGTTAAATTTTTCAAGTTCACCGATACAAATTAACACTTACTTTTTTTTTATAAAAATACCTCTTTTACTACCGTAATTTTTTTTTTTTTTTTTTTTTTTTAATGTCGTAATTATGTACAATTTACCCGCCGTTTATGTATGACCTAAAGTTTAGGTTAAAAAAGTGAGAAATAAACTGGATTATTACAAGAAAAAAAAATATCCCGTCCCCTCTCCTTCCTCTCTCCTCCTCCCTCCCTCCTCTTCTTTCCAACTCATTAAAAATACTAATTAAAAAAAAAAAAAAAAAAAAATTAATGAATATGTGACGACAGCAAAAACTAATGAATTATAACAATAAATAATTGTAACCATCAATCAAATAAATTGAAACGAATTTCATTCAATAAAAAAATTTTTTTTTTCTGTTTCCCATTCGAACTCTGATTTTATTTATATAAAAAACAACTAAATAAGAAAATTAAACCTTCCTCCACCCCCTCCCCCCCGAAAAAAAAATTAAAATTTAAAAATCGAAATAAATTCCTGTCGGAAAAAAAAACATTCGTAAACAATGGCGGTTTACACGTCGGAAATGTCATTAATAATATTAAGTAATAATTTATTTTATTTATAAATGAATTAAAATAAAGGAAAGAAAAAATTCAAAGGTTTCCGGCAGGGGTCATCATCATCATCATCATCAACATGGCGACAGTGAAAAAAACTTTCATTTTGGCTTTAATTCAAAAAACTTTTTTTTTTTTTTTTTACTAAAATATATATAACCGTGTGTGTTTGTGTGTGTGTGTTTTGGGTTGCGAGAAGTTCATTACCAAATTTTTATTTATTTATTTATTTCCTTTTCCGCTCGATTTTAAAATAATAATAATAATAAAATACCTTCTGGCAACGGATGCCATGTTACGTTCGTGCTTAATCTTTCGCTTCCTATGCTGACTAGATGAGGATTATCCGTTTGTATTTTCAACGCCCTACCGGATTCTCTCACTTCGAGACTTTCAAATTGATTCGATTGAACTGCTGCCATACCTAAAAAATTAAAAACAAAACAAAAAATTATGTTTTTAAACAAAGCACAAAACAAACAAACAAACAAACACATCGAAAAAAAAAAAAAGAATGAGTCGACTGGATTTTCCACTACCTTTTCTTAATTTTTTTTTTGGCATTAAAATCATTTTTTATAAAAAAAATCTTTTTTGTTTAAATATTAACATCGTTATTTATTTATTTTTTTCTTTCTTTTAAGGCATGAGAAAAACCTGAAAGCTCGTTGTGAAAATATTTTTCCACATCGTGATTTACTACGGATCGAGAGCGAGAGAGAGAGAAAGAGAGAAAGCTTCGGGCATTTTTAATCTTTTTTTTACGGTGATGAGAACAGAAAAATTTTTGAAAAATACATTTTTCTTTTTTTTGGGGGGGACCAAATTTTTTATTTTTGTAATTAAACAAAGATACGGTTCACCCGTTAATCGTAGCAAAATTTTTAAAAACGAAACAAAAACATTGTAAAAATTACAAAATAATAATAATAATAAGAAAAGGTCAAAAGGCGAACTTAATAATTCGTGACTTTGTTTTTTGTTTTGTTTTAACGCTTTTTAAATTTTTTATTAATCGACGAATCGTAAAATACTAAAGAAAATAAATTTTAGAATTTAAAATATTTCTTTATATAAGAAAAATTAACATTGTATATTAATTAAAATAACGATAATAAACAAAGTGAAAACAGCAGGACGTAAAACAACAACAACAACAAACGACGACCACTACTCGTACGAGACGAGGGGAAACAAACGCAAACACACAAAAATAAAGAAAACAGCTGGGATTTCAAGGTTTTTTAATGTGTAGGGAAAAAAAAAAAGGAAAAAAGAAAACAGAAAAAAACAGAAAATGAAACTACGCGCTGCATAACTATAATCTTTATAGTTTTTATTTTTTTAAAACACAATAAAGTCAAAGAACTAAAAACAAAAAACAAAAAACAAAACTGAACGAAATTTTTTGTTTTTTTGTTTTTTCTCTAAACAGTTACACGACATTGTGCTCGAAAGTTCAAATTTAAACTTTTTGACCTGTGCCTTATTTAATAATTACACACAGTTCACGTGGTTGTGTAATTGACTTTGAAACAGTTTAAACATAACGCTCTAAGGAAAACAACAAAACATAACAGAGAAAAAAAGACGAAATCAAATTTTGACAAACATTTTCATTCTCGTTCTTATTCCACGACAAATAAAAAATCCGTTCGCTTCATTCTAAAACTACTTAATCGATGATCGTCGTATGTATAAAAATCAAAACGAACGTGAAAATTTAAACAAAAAAAAAAATTCACGGCTTAAATTTTTATTGAATATGTTCAGACATGTGCGTATGTCGCGAACTCGTGATCAGAATTAATCACGAAAAAAAAAAATAAAAACAATAAAAAATAATAATAATAAGATTTAAAAACTGTTAATCAAAGCGAAAAATTAATATTAAAAGAAAATAAAACGTAGAATTAATGAACGCGTTCATCGATCTGACAACACGTTTTTATCAAAAAAGAACACAAAAAGAAAATGGAAAACGCGGTTTTTCTTTTCATCAGTGCCGCCGAATCGAATTTATATACATTCGATTAAAAAAAAAAAAAAATTATTCAATGCGTCGAAGAGATGAAAAAAAAAAGTTCATAAACCTGCTGGAATTGAGGTTTAAAATTTCAAATTGCAAGTTTCACGTAAATTAATAACTCTCGAAAGAAGAAAAAAAAAATGTACCTTTTTTCTTTCTCTCTCATTCTCTCTCTCTCTCTCTTTCACTTGTAATTTATGTTTTAGTTCGTCGTCGAAAATTGTTTTAAATGGCTTTCGTTTAATAATATTCGTGCCGTCGTTAACACCGACACCACCATCACCACCACCTTCATCAACTTTAAGAGGTTTTCACAAAGATTTTCATTATTTTCTCATTTCTTAAAAAATAAGAAGGAAAATGAGAGGGGGGAGGGCAAAAAACTTTCCCGTAAGAAAAAAAAACTCGGGTAAAACATTACGTCACGCGACGACGAAATAAATTATTAAAAAAAAAAAAAAATTTTCCCCTCCCCGATTCAAAACAAACCCACGTGGACACAACAATGTGAAAAGAAAAAATGATGAAACCGTAGAAATATTCAATGAAAATATAACGAGTCGAATTGTATTTGAATGAGCTTTTGTGATCGTTTGCGTCGTGTCAGCAGAAATGTGGAACATAAGTTTAATAGCCTGTAAAATTAAGCTAATTGCTCTATTTAAGAAAAAAAAAATAGTTTCATTTCTTTATTGCTTATTTATGTACCAATTAAATAATTTATTGAGGTCACAATTAAAAAAAATTTCCAAAAAAATTACAATTAAATTTTAACTAAACAAAAAAAAAAAAAGAAAAATTTTTTTATTATTAAAAATATTTATTAAAAAAAAAAAAAAAAAAAGAGGGAGAGGGGATCGTATCAATTTTTCCTCGTATCAAACATCAAAAAAAAAAAAAAATTTCCCTCGGGGAGTAAAACCGATACGTTAAAAAAAAAAAAAAAAATTTATTTTCGGGAACGAAATTAAATTTGGCGGTTACGCATCACTGGAGCAATGAAAATAATCAAAACCGACAAACGAAAGCAACCAATAAAAAAAAAAAAACTTTTTCTTCTGCTTTTTTTTTCATCATTAAATTGCAATACTATTGACAATGTATATATATTTTTTTTTGAAACAATAATAATAATAAAAACAGTTATGCGGAGACATTAAAAAAAAAACAAAAAAAATTTTTTTTGATTTATATATACTGACCCCATTGTTATTATTATTGACTTGACAAAAAAATACAGGAAAACATTTTCGAGAAAAATAGAGAGAGAGAGTTTCAAAACAATAAAAACAATAAAAATTTAAATGTTTCAAAACTCTTAAATTTAAAAATATTTAACGTTTGTTGCATTGATGAAACATAAACAAAACAACTTTTGACACAAGAAAGTCCAACTTTTTTTGTCTCTCTTTCTCTCTCTCTCTCTCTCTCTCACGATCCAAGTTTTTACACCTGACTTAATTTTTACAGATGATGATGATGATGTAAATAATTGCATTCAAAAACAAAAATTTGACGTTTTCTGTCATTTAAAAAAAAAAAAAAAAAATTGAATAATTTAAACGGTGACCGTTTTTCGAATGAAATCCGATTGATTGACAGAAAGTAAATAAAGAAGAAAAAAAAGGTCAAAATATTTTTTTTTTTTTTGCATACGATTAATTAACATTAAAAACAAACAAAACAAACAAACAAAACAAACAAAACAAGACAAAACAATATGTTAAATAATAAAACACAAAACACTTTCTTTCTTTCTTTCATTCTTTCTTTTTTTTCCCTTTTTTTCCTTCATTCTTTCTGTATCCTTCTCTCTTTGTCCCCCTTCTCCCTCTCCCTCTCTCTCTTTCTTTTTTCATCTTTTAATTTTTTCCTTACATCATTTTATATTCTTTAATTTTAGGTACGGACACGATGGCTTCATAAAAAAAACTTTTAAAAATAAAAAATAAAAAATTGCAAACTTAATTTTTTTTTTTTTGCAACGTTTACGCGTTACCACCATTAACTTTCAGGTTTCAGGTTTTTTTTTAAATTTTTTTAAAGGTAATAATTAAGGGTAAAATATATAAAATTATAAACGATTTAAATTTTTTTTTTTTGAAAAACCTCGTTTGTATACATATTTTTTGCAAGAACCCAGAGGAAATCTTTAACGGGAGGAAAGAAAAAAAGTCGGAAAACTATTTCCTTATCATTATCATCATCATCATCCTCTTTTTTTTTACGCCTCGAAATTTTACAACTATCAAAACCTTATTATTAAAAAAAAAATAGTAATAATGATGATGATGATAATAATAATAATAAATTAACGGGGAGAATAAGTCGAAAGGCGACCACTTTAAAAGAGAAAAAAAATTTTCACAAGTTGTTATTATTATTCATTTAAATTTTCCACAATTTCGACAAACTCTGCAATTTATTTTTAAGTATAAGAAAAAATCGTTTACCCCCCCCCCTCCTCCTCCTCCCTCCCGCCCCATAAGAAAACAAATAATAGGGCTTTAAAAGGAAATTTTCCAATTTTTCCTTCACAGAATCTCGCATAGCTTTAAAAAATTCATTTTAACGATCAAATTAATTTTTTTTTCGTTCACGCACAACAACAATAACAAAGATGACGCCATGACGTTTATTTATTTATTTATTTATTATTCGTAGCGATTAACAAAACCGCATTCATTTCGCAAGAAAGAAAAAAAACTTTAAAATTATTCTCTATTTAATTATTTCCTTATTAATTAATTATTACATCATTGTGGAATTTCAATACGACCTTCGTGTTTACACATGAAAATATTTTAAATAGGAAAAAAAAATTTATTATTATTATTATTATTATTACTGGGCTCGGCTCTATGTTATTTCGCCTCCTACTTTGTTATCCTTGTCTTTTCCACCGATACTCATTTGTAAAAAAAAAAAAAATCTCTCCTTGGAATTCGTCTTTTCCATTCAAAAAAAAAAAAAAAAAATTTGAGAATTCGAAATTTGAGAAATTTTCAAAAAACGTCCGTTGCAATTATTTTACGCGTGACTACATAAATACAAACACACAACAAACGCATAACAAACAAACAAACAATCAAACAATGAGCGATAATCACGTTCGAATCACGAAAATTATTATTATTATTTTTTTTTTTTAGATTTTTCAAAAAAAGGAAATAAAATTTTCATGTTTGTTATATTATATTATTATAATTATTATTATTATTACTATTATTATTATTATTATTATTACTATTATTATCATTTTTCAAATCTCGCGGGAAAGGTCTTTTACTATTTATTTTGTTCAATAACTTTTTTTTTTTTTTTTTTTTTTTTTTCGTTTACCAGATTTAAAACAATCACAACCGAAAAAAAAAAAAAAAATTTGTTTTTCTA